AAGATTCTGAGGCAGATCGACTATGTAATGACAGATACGCCGAGAATGTTTGCTGACGTTTCGGTTATAGGTGAAAGTGTGGTCGCAACTGGCTCCGACCATCGTCTAGTGCGTTCGACGATACTTATAGATCGAAGAAGAGAGAAACGAGTTCTGTACTCACAAAGAGCACTCATACGCTACGCTTTCAATGCCGATTTATTCACTGACTTAGTAGCATTGTCAGACCTGCGGATGGACACTGAGAGAAGCATCGACGCTGACTACGACGAACTAGTAGAGAAAATAACTCTTGCTGTCAAAGCTTCCAGCACTGCAGCAGAACGTGGCAGAAGACAACGTGTGTCAGCGGAAGCAATCCAGATGATGCAGAAGAGAGCACGTATGAAGGCCGAAGGAAGAGTCCAGAGCGACGAATATAAGACTCTCAGTAAAACGATAAGGGAGAGGATAAAAGAAGACTATGAGGGATATAGGCAAAAGAAGCTTCGTGAAGCGGCAGAAAAGAGGGCAAGCCTGAAAACAGTGGAAAGAGATGTCCGTCTCAGGCAACAAATTCCCTCTGCTCTCAAGGATAACCTAGGTGTTCGCACGACAAATCGAAAGCGGATGAATGAAATCTGCACGAAGTTTTTTAACGATTTGTACTCCTCAAAGGTGTTTGTCACAAAAGTCGCTCAACTGCTGTCAGAGAACCGGTCCCAAATGTCATGTGGGAAGAAGTCGAGCATGCAGTGAAGGGAATGAAGTCTGGAAAAAGTCCAGGAAGTGACAACATTCGACCTGAACACCTAAAGGCAGGCGGAATAACCCTCAAAGCGCTGGCAGAACGTTTCACCAGATATTTCATCGAAAGTGGCGTGGGGAGATCGAAGACGATACTGCTGATGAAGAAAGGAGATCCTGAGAGTCTGAACAACTACAGGCCCATCACGCTTTTGTCACAAATATGTAAAGCCTTCACGAGAATAATCTTGAACCGTATCGTCAAGGACTTAGACATGGCTACGAGTAGAGAACAGGCCGGCTTCCGGAGCGGTTATTCCACGATGGACCATTTACATGTTGTACGTCAGCTTACGGAAAAATGTGGAGAGTTCCAAATTCCCCTCTGCTTGGCGTTTGTCGATTACAAGAAAGCCTTTGATTCGGTTGAAGCGAACGCAGTATTCAATGCGTTGAACAGATTTGGAATCAATATGAACTACGTCGACCTCCTGGAAGAGCTGAATGACGGCTGCAGTACAGAAATCAAGCTCTTCAACGACCCCTGTCATATAAAGATCTGCAAGGGAGTACGTCAAGGAGACACAATTTCGCCGAAGCTCTTTGCAATAACACTGGAGGCCCTCTTCGGAAGTTTGAATTGGAGCGGCGGCATCGAAATCGACGGCGAAAATCTCACGCATTTGCTTTTTGCGGACGATTGCGTCATTTTTGCACAAGACGCAAGAGAGCTTCAGGACAAGCTGGTTCAACTTCAGAATAAATCAAAGGAGATTGGACTCGAGATGAACCTCTCCAAAACGAAATGGATGAGAAACCAGTTCAGCACCTATGACGGGGATTACAGTCGAAGGCGAGTTAATAGATGAAGTCCAGAATTACGTCTACTCAGGGTATCAGCTCAGGTGGAGGGCGCTGGAGGAGAATTTGGCGGGCGTGGGAAAGCAGCATGGACTAGCTTCAACAAAATCTCAACGATACTGCTATACGAAAGTCTAGCGATGGAAAGTAAAGGTCGACTGTTTCACTCGCACAGTTGTAACCCGCATTATTGTATGGCGGCTGAATGCTGTGGTCAAACCACCAAACAGACGACGAGAAATTCGGGTCGCACGCAGCGGTCAATGAGTAGCGCAAGTAATTTGCCCACAATATCACTGCGTGATCATCATTCGAACACGGAAACTCCGAAGGACGAAGAAGGCTCTGTTGATATTGTCCAGGTATGAACGGAAACGAGAATGGGCCGGCCATGTGGCGCGTCTGAGAGATAACCAGATCTAGGGAGATCCAGTCAGTTAGCTGGATGGACCTCCCGGCTAACTGACTGGATCTCCCTAGATCACAAGCGACCGCTGGGAAGGCCTAAAACGAGATGGGCCGATCCAATGGTGAAAATGTTCGGCCAACAGTGGAGAAGACGCGCACAGGACCGGAACGAATGGCTCGAAGTCGATTGCGTGGATGGCGTAACACACGAGGACAAGTCGAATACAGGTGATACAGGTGATAAGAAGTCGGCTCTTTCCCCTTATTACCTCACTCTCACCATTCGGAATGGAGAAAGTTATTGAAACAACCGCCCCACTAGAAGGTCTTTGGAAATGAAAGTTTGGTATTGCGTTGGGCAGTGGTCGAAGCGCTACCTTTGTCGCAAACGGGTCAGGCTGTCCCCGTGTAGTACAATACTTGTGAGCTGCAAAAGTGGTTCTTGCACTATGTCTGTGGGCACTACTAGCATGGTCAAAGAAAGCGTCTGAACGTCAAATGAATGTGGAAAGAGGAGTTTTGACATTAGATGGCATAGCGTGAGAACTCATGAAGTGGCCAGTCAAGGCTATCTTTTATGTCCTGTTAGCGGGACAGCGAGAAAGCGCTCCAGGGCAGGGTGCAAATAGCAGGACGGCTGGCCCAGGGATATCAGGAAAACCGTCCACCCCACAGTAGATAAGTCCGCCATCAGGTAAGTCCTTACGACATCGCGAACGCAGCAAGCGCGAGCACTAAAAGACGACTGTGTAAGTTGGAACCAATTGTTATTTTAGAAGACGTATTTTGGAAAGGACATCTCTAGAAGATGCAAGAATACAAAAGGTTGGATGACCGGAAAACTGGTAAGGTCGGATAACAGAAGACTAGAATTAACAACAGTAAAGAAAGACAATTCATGATTGATTTTGTCCGAAAGGTATTCCCTCACTGTTGTTTGTTACAGCTTTCTAAGTTCATAACAACTTTGGAAATACTTTTTTGGAAATACCAATTTCAGAAAGCCGTTGAGCTGAGAGGGTAAGAAAGGCTCTGATGCCGTTACGGATCCGCATGGGAAGCGTCAGGTGCGGGTTCAGCTCCTGCGTGAGGTATGATTTCTGTTCATAGCTCAGCATTTTTTGGCAACTTTTGAAACGCGACTTACGGCTCAAATAGCAGTTATCATAATATCAAACCTTCCATCTCGAGGGCAACTGAGCGATAATTCGAGGGCAATTGTGACATAAAAAATAACTCAAATTGCTCCTTACGTCAATAAATACTAGCAAGAAGAAACAGAGGAAAAACAATTGATTAAAAAGGTTATCTATCATCATGAGGCGCTCATACTGTAGAGCGCTACGCAGACAATAAGGATAACAAGACAGATTTTCATCAAAGTCTCTCTTTTGGAATCGGCTGCAATTTCTTCGTCGAACGCTACTTAAGAGTACTAATTTAAACTTTCTTGTAGGAGAGCTTCTGACAGAGTAGGAAGTTTTCTTATGGTTCGCTTTGAACTTCTGTAAGTTGTAGTTAGTTGTAGTGTAGTTCTGTTCTGTATCATTTTCTGAAGCATCCGTCCCTTACTGCTCTTTTTGTGGTCACATCTACTGGAGCACCACTTCAAAAATCAATTTTTCTGAAAACAACTATTAGTTTCAACCTCGTGGGTCCTTTATTTAGTGTTCGCGCGTGCGGTGATTGCGATGTTACGCGGACTTGTCTATTGGTGGACTCTAGCCACCGGTATTCATTTCTTGCTTTTGTCTTCAACAGGCGGGGAAGGAACCATAACTTCGTTAATATTTATATTTAATTCTGTAATGCACAGTCACTGCTTGGCTGTTAGGATTGACATGTGTCTAAGCGCTATCAAATATTCTACGTTCGAATTTGAAAATGATTGTACTAAAGTCATCGTCAGAGGACGTGCCATAGAATCATTTTCTTTGTTCATATTTGCGTATCCTTCGACTTTCCTCCATCCAGGAAGATCCTTCTTGCCTGTAGCAATGCACGACAACCTGGGATATAACTTGCCGTCAAAAGCTGACCTATGTGAAAACGAAAGTCATTCAATTTTTCGATGGTTACCCGAGCAACCTCTATCACATTTTACCACTGTTTGACGGATCAATCCGTTGTTCAAGAGAGTCTTGGTCCGAAATCATACAGGTAGTAGCACTTCTGCTACTCGACTGCAGGTGAGGAGAATAGTGCGGGTGTCAGATGAAGTATCAGCCAAACGATACCCGTACGAGTTCCCGGGAATTGCAGAAACAAGCCAAAAGCCCTGTATTTACATCTAAAGCTCAATAGTGTTGCCTTCAATTCCACTGCATGACCATATTTGTTATCACATATGTCCTCCTTGTTTCTGAACCTCGTCCGCAATGGCATTGTCCTGCCTCTTCAAAAGCTCTTCACGTACTGGATGTTCACAATTCCGTCCACTTTCTTGTTTACTATTGGGTCAGCATCCATGGTACAAAGCATAGTTTGATCACATAAACTACGAACTGCAATCATGGAATGTGCCCTTGAAGGCACGGTCTGCGATAAGGAGCGTTGGTAGCGGTGCTGAAATATGGAATAAGAATAATCATGACTCATCTTACAAGAGAAAATGCCAATGCCGGCAACATCGTTTTTCACTGAGAGGCGGGCTTTGAAGGCGGAGTTTGGAGGCGGGTCACTAGAAAAACGGAGGCGTCGCCTAATCTATAATACATTCCGCTATAGCATCCCTACAATTTTTTGTAGCAAAGCCGGTACAAGGTTGTTGTTCGCAGACCACACTACCCTCCCGACGCCATATCATCTTCTGTACCTGATCGCGGACCGGGACTTTGAATGGCACGCTACTGCAGTAGGAGACCCATCCGCCTTCCACATTGCAAGGACTGCCCTCGGAGGAGAGTGTTCGGTGTGTCTCAGCAAGATAGTATTCTCTCCTCTTTAGCCTCCTTCAGCCACTCTTGAAAAACGCCATAGCTAAGCCAAATTTTCCATTTTACAGGATGAAAACCGTCCCCATCCTGCTTCTCGTCGCCACTGCTGCGATGGGTGCGCGTAAACGTTCAAGATTCCACTTTTACGATAATTACTTCTTCACACCATTCCTGAAGAGTGTCAGCAAAGAGATTAAATCAGAGTATTTGGCCATATTCGCAGGCAATCTCACTATTGGACAAGAAGAGGCGAAGATGACAGAATGGGCAAAGAAGTATAATCGTACGGTGCGTATGCTTGTCACGTCTGACAGATACGAGATCTCTACAGCCAAACGAGGCTTTCAGGAGGAAATGAAAAAATTCAAGGCAAAAATGGAAGGAAAAATGAACAAGCTTCAGAAGGCTGCGGATGACATAATTAAGGCTTTGCCAGCCGCGTTCAAGGAGTACATGGACATTACAAAAAGGGAAGACAAAACCATGGAACAAATAAAGAGTGATGTGCAACGAATGGCTCTTAAAAACATTGAGGTCAGAAAAAATTGCATCATTACAGCTTGTTAAATACTACTAACGACTAAATGGCATTTTGCAGGTATTTCGAGTGCTAAGGTTCATCCTCAGTGGGAGCTACATGTCGACAGCGATGAGAAGACGATACCTTCGCTATAACATAAGTCGCGCGCGCCGTTTGGCGCTTTCCAATAGAAAGGCAGCGAAGAACTCAACCACCACGGGTAATAAGATTTCGCAAGAATTTCTGAGGATGTTGGGTATCACAGAACAGGAATGCTTCACTTCAAAGCTGTTCTATTAGGTCATCCCAGGGTGGACATAGAGAGGAATGGCGGGAAAACAAAGGGAATAAGGCTTCGGGCTACCGTATCGTTCAAAAGCTGGTGTACCTTTAGGCTATGCATCTGTGAAATGTGGCTAACCTAGCCCCAAAAAAGTTCTGGGAAAGTGAAAAAGAAGCCCGAGTATGCAAAGTCAGCGGCGGATTATATAATCAGAGGTCTACAAAGAAAGTGCACTGCTAAAATTTATCCTCTGCCGGACTAATAAATAGTGTTCCTGTTCTGGTCAGTGGGTGGCACAACGGCTGTTCAACGGCAAAAGCTAGGTCGAAAATGGCATCATGAACAGTTTAGAAGCAGGTGTTGGAAAAGCGAAGGCTCCAGTGGTTGCAACGCTCCCGGGGCACTGAGGAGCAGATCATTGATGGAAGAGGAATCTACCTAACTTCAAGCAAAAATTAACTTGTTCTGTTTTTTTTTCGATTTATTTGAACATTCCGCGTTCCTGTATGGGTTGACCTAATATATTCAAATAGCCCCTCCAAACCGTATTCTTCAGGTTCAAAACAATGAAATATCGACACAAACTTCTCTCACTCCCAAATGACATCATGCAGTCTCCACCCTTGTCGTCTGCGTGAAAATGACGTCGTCCAAATGAAACTTTAAAAATTATGTCCTCTACCGTTGTTGAGTCCATCTCTAGCAACACAACATCCGTCGCCGAAGGATTGTCAGAAATTCTCACGTAAGCTGTAATCTGTTCGCTCTTAAGGTAATCTGAGAGTCGACAGCACGGTACGAAGTTTGGGCTAGATCTATCAGCGTCCACTAGCGTCTGCCAACGATCATCAGCGTCTCGGGGGACTGGGAAAGCATGTATACCAACCATCTAGCGTCTACCAGCAAACATCAACAATCAGGAGTATGGAGGAGAAGAGAGAGTAGCAGATTGCTGGTAGAGTGTGTGGAAGAATGAGGGAGGAGACAGCCGGTTTAGCCCTTGTGAAATTGAGCGTGTGCAAGCGCGCCGTACTACTACTACTACACAATACCATTCTCCTGGTCGCTGATGGACGCGTGACGCTAGATCGATATCATCCTTTCCTAGTCCTTCGAGAAGATGATGGTCGCTGGCGGACACTGGTGAACGCTGGTAGACGCGACATTCGCTAGACCGATATCCATCCTCTCCTAGTCGCTGGCGCTGACGGTTGCTCGAAGAGCTGATGGTGGCTGGTAGGCGCTAGTTTTCGCTGATGGACGACGCGACAAGGTATGAACGCAGCCTTACTGTATTGAAAAGCAGCAGCGGCAGCCATCAAAAGTTGGCGTTTCCGTCTCCCGAAGAGTCTGGTACAGTCGCTGGAGGGATGAGAAGCTTGTTTTGGTTGGGTGACGGCCTACCCTTATAGCGCCCCATCAAGCTGCAACATACCGACCGGGACACCACAGCGCCCGCCCAGCTGCAGTTATACGTAGGTTCCATCGACGCTTGGTGTTCTTATTGCTTCATTTGTAGAGTTTAATCGATATGAAGCGTTACTGTATGACTACAAAAGTGCAGCCGTGTCTATTAACACATTCCGGACCGCGTGACACACATGGTGTGTCATACTTTTTTCTCTCTGCGCTGTCTTCATACGGTCCATTTGGCATCTTATTCATGCTCCGAAGTTATCAGAACACGTTTTTAGGCACAGAATACACATATTTCATAGAAAAGTGAAAGAAACAGATGAAATTGCTGATTATCGGTTTGAAAAATAACGAAATTATGCGGAGAACCTCGAACAACGGCGGTCCGGAATGTGTTAAAATACTTGTTGGCCTTATGCTCACGCAAATCTCGCCTAAAATGCTCGTCAGTTGCCGCGCAGAATAAAGGGTTCTCTCAGGTTCTTGGCCGATTCATTCCATTTTTCCGTGACTGATTCATTCCATTTTTCCGTGACTTTCTCACTATATGGCACCCTATATGCCATTTCTGAACAGGTACCAAATTACCGTGCCTTATGTCTTCAATATTTTTTACCTTGTGACATTATGTTCTTAAACGCTGCTTCTAGTACTAATGGTTTGAAGAAAAGTAAATGAGCTAAGACGCGAGAAAACCCCATTTCACTTCTGTACCAATTTTTTTCTTTACTGTACAGGTACTGCCTAACTGGTGATCGAGCGCTTTTTCTAGACGGTTTTGTACATTGTAGAGGCGCCGGCACGGAGCCCAAAAAAGGTCTGTTGACCTGCAGGTCTCCTAGAAATGTCAGAAAGGAGTGCGAAGTAGTGCTCGCAGGGGGAGTCATTTGAAGACCATTCCCGCGATCAAGCATTACGAGTAGTCGGCCTTCAGTTATGAAGCAGCAGTAAGTGACTTTCTAGTAGAGAAAGGAGCAAAAAAAACACATTGAGAACACCTCGAACTAGACCCCTCAATGACAGTAGCACAACCTTATTGCACGAGTTCACCAGACTTGCAGGACACCGTGCGCGGCCTCTGTGCAAATCCTAGCTCGTGGTTCTCTCCTTTGCATCCACCAGTAATATAAAGGATAAAAAGGATAAAGTCTTCGCCGTTGATCAATCCCTTTGTGGGATGCGGCACGCATTCTACTTCCATTCAGAATCGTAGTGGCTTATTGAATGCGATGTGGCCTATACAATGACTTGCGGGGGCCAGCCGATGTACAAGTCAGTGTTTTATCCTCCCAGACGAATCTGGTACCAATTTACCGTCCTCGGGAGTGCGTGGAACATCAAAAAAAGACTGATCAATGATGCAGACGTTAGCCTCAACCTTACCCATACCTAATTATAGGTGGACTCCGCGAGATGGGTTTTGTCTTGGTTTTAGATGACATATATTACTGGTGGAGGCGGAGGTGGTGTAGTGACAAGTGGCGCGCTTACCACTCGCGCGGCGCCGGGTTCAAATCCCGGTCGACTCCCGCCCAAGCCTTCTACCTAAATACTTCCATTCAGAATCGTAGTGGCTCATTGAATGCGATGTTTCATGCAACGCGGTGCGGTCAGCCGATGTAATAGTCACTCAGTTGAGGATAACAAGGCTGACTTATACGGCTTGTACGTCGGCTGACTCCGCAAGTCAGTCTTCTCCCTCCCAGATTAATCTGGTACCAATTCACCGTCCTGGGAGGATACAAGGCTTGGTGGGGTGTGGCGATTCTATCGTCGACGGTAGGTGGGTCGTCGCGCCGGTGGGCGGAGCCCCACTTACCGTCTTTTTATTCTCTTTTATCTTTTTAAGAAATCTAGAGATTTTCAACACGTTGACGACAATCGCGTTTTGCGGGAAAGCGCCACGTGGGACAATGGCGTGCTTTCGCATGCGTCCGCCCTGAGCCACCGGTGGCTCATGTTGTCCCTCGTGGACCACTTTTTTGCCGCTATGTCAAATTTCGCAAAATGATAAGTCAATCGTGCAGGGACTGCTATTTCAACCATATTTGACCCTATTGGATGCCATCTCATGCCCCGCCCACTGCGATCAAGCCCACTTTTTAGCGCGATCGTGATTTCCAAAATGTGTACCATAACTTCCGTTTCTGAGAATTTTCTTGGAATTTTCTGTTTTTCACACATTACAATGATTCATTGATGGCCACACCGACCCATAGCCATACGCCCACTTTTTAACAGGTTTGTTTTATATTTAATTTTCATACCTTATCTCAACGTTGACGCTTTCAAACACACTCTTCACATATTGCTCACAGACAAGCAATTGCACGAAGATGCATAAGGCTCCGCACACTTAGCTCCCCCACTTTAGATCGATTTTCGCGATTTCTAGCAATATTTTATTATCACTATTTATCCATATTTTCTTCCCACTATCCATATTTTATCACTTGTTCACCATCTCAAGATCACCAAACGGCTCCGCCCACTATGAGAGGCCCCTGCCACTTCGCACAAGCTCCACCTACACCTGCGAAAATGCCTTGATCTGGAAGTACAGAGTCTCGCTCGTAGACCAGAAGAAGCCAGACTGCTTCACTGGGGGGGGGGGGGAAACTGCGTGCTGTGGATCAATAACTACCAAGAACAACCATATAGGAACTCCTTGCGGATGCCGTGTCAAATCACCTAGGTGTAGAGGTTTCTATCAAATTCTGTGTCAAAAAGATCGCTGGCGCCAGGTGGCGTCAACTTTGGAAGGAAACGATACATTCATGACAAGGATGTCAAATAACCTAGGTGTAGAGGTTTCCATTGGAATCGGTGTCAGAAGGATCGCTGGCGCCAAGTGGCGCCGACTCCGGAAGGTAACAATATATTCGTGACAAGGATGTCAAATAACCCAGGTGTAGAGGTTCCTATCAATAAGATAAAATAAAATAAAAAGATTGAGTCTTAAGAAATCTTAGGCATCTGCTATAAAGTTGAAAATTACTTCAAGGTAATTCTGAACTTTAATTCATTTATTCATTTTAGCTAAATCATTTGAGGGGGGTCGATTCAAAGAAGTAGTTCAGTTTCCGTTTCGCACGTGCCCTTAGACGGAAACTGAACGAGACCAATCTTCCTTCTCTGTGCTCTTCAGTAAGGGAAGAAGGAAAGTTCTATTGTGAAGAGTTGATTATTTAATCAAAAAAAGTGTTTTTATGAAAATATTTTCGTTCGGTGTTAAAGAGACTGCCAACGCCAAAGTGGCGCCTACTGGCGCCATATGGCGCCAATGACAAGTGAGATCTCACCTCCATAACTGAAGACCCGTGCAGTCCCTGCAGCCAAGGTTTCGTC